CTGTTTCTCCTGCTGTTTCGGTTACCACACCAACACCAACACCAACAGCTACTTCCTCTGCTTATGACACTGAGACTTCTGCTGAAACTTCTGGTTCTCCATCGCAAATTCCTCAGCAATCATCCCCTACTGCAGAACTTTCTCATACGACACCTGACCCTGGGCCTCTCCCTCTTGGGAAAGAATGCTGTACGAAAAAGCCTTCAACTCGTTTACATGATTGTGTCACTAATACCACTCATCTAGGCTCCGACAGTGATTTCTCGGACTCCTCATGGTATCCACTTGACGATTATGTTGACTGTTCACGATTTTTGGAAAAACATCGTGCATTTCTGGCTGCAATAACTGAAGCTGTGATTTCTGCTTCGTATAAAGAAGCATTTGAGGACGAAAACTGGCAAGGGGCTGTTCGTTTTGAGATTGATGCGTTGGAAGAACGAGAAACATGGCTGTCGTAGCACTACCTCCAGGAAGACGGGCTCTTACTTGTAAATTGGTCTTCACTCTGAAATTTCAAGCAGATGGTACACTCGAGAGGTATAAGGCACGACTCGTCGTTCTTGGCAATAACCAAACAGAAGATATTGACGACGAAGAAACATTTGCACCAGTTTGCAAGATGGAATCACTACGTACTTTTCTGGAAATTGCGGTGGCTCGTGATTGGGAGGTTCATCAAATGGATGTCCATAATGCTTTTCTGCACGGTGACTTAATGGAAGAGGTTTATATCAAGTTACCACCGGGTTTCTACACAACCGAAAAGAATCAAATCTGCCGCTTACATAAATCTCTCTATGGCCTCCGTCAAGCACCTAGATGCTGGTTTGCCAACTTGACGAACTCTCTTCTCGCATATGGTTTTGCTCAGTCTTTAAAAGACTATGCCCTATTCATCTATGAGAACGGAGTGGCACGGTTACACATTCTGATCTACATTGATGATCTCCTCATCACTGGAACTTCACAGGCTTTTATTAATGAGTTTAAAGATTACCTCAGCTCTTGCTTTCGGATGAAGAACTTGGGTCCTTTGAAATATTTTCTCGGCATCGAAGTTGCAAGGAACACCTCGGGAATGTATCTGTCTCAGCGGAAATACACCCTAGATATTATCTCTGAACTGGGTCTCCTTAGATCTCACCCTATGTCTCATCCCATCCAGCAAAACCACACGCTTGCAGCCCCTGAAGGTCCGATGTTTCCAAATCCGTCACAGTATCGCCGTCTTGTTGGTCGTTTGATTTATCTACGTGTAACTCGACTTAAGCTATCTTATACAATCCACATGCTAGCTCAGTTCATGCATTCACCACAACAAGAACATTAGGATGCTGCGATCCGTGTTGTACACTACCTGAAGGGTTCTCCTGGACAAGGTATTCTTATCCGTGTTGAAACTTACCATCTGGTGTGACTCCGACTGGGCGGGATGCCCCCTATCTCGCTGTTCTCTCACCGGCTGGTTCATACAATTAGGAGGGTCTCCCATCTCCTGGGGTACACAGAAACAAGGCGTAGTATCACAGTCTTCGACAGAGGCAGAGTACCGTGCTATGGCAGACACCGTGAGTGAGGTCTTATGGTTACGAGAACTACTCATTTCACTTGGCATCGGTTGCACACTCTTGCAACATTATACTGCGACAACAAATGTGCAATTTATCTCACAGAAAACCCTATTTTTCATGCTAGGACAAAGCATATTGAATCCGATTGTCCCTTCATTCACGATGAGATAGTCAAAGGAATCATCAAACCGGAACACTACCAACTAGTTGGCCGACATATTCACCAAGGCTCTGGGACAAAAATTGTTTGAATCTTTCCTTCACAACTTGGGTATTTGTGACCTCCATACTCCAACTTGAGGGAGGGTACTGAAAAATATGAGATCCTATTATGTAAATACGAAATATTTGGATACTGATATGTAAAGACTAATGAATACTAGGTATCTTGTAAGGTATAAGGCAGAGCCGACATCATATGAATGAAACTAAGAAATCTTATCATATCAATTTGAGTTTTCTTGTCATTACAACATTTTCACATAACAACAAAAAGTTTGTATGACAATGACATTTTCTTACATGATATAATAATGTTAGACCATGATGAACCTGGAGTTTTTAGAATGAGGTTTTTAGCTGAAGTTAAGAAACTGTTTTTTTAACTTTTACCTAAAAAAACTAAGAACAAGTTCTTAAATAAGGTATTTATGAATCAGTTCTTAGCTTTTTAGTTAAAAGTTAAGAAACAATTTATTAACTTTGGCTTAGAACCTCATCTTAAGAATCCCAGGTTAAAGAGCATCTATATCCAGGTATCTTGGAGCACCATTAACGGGGGTGCTAACCCCGGTGCTTAGCAAACTTAAAAAAAAAAAAGAAAAGGAAGAAGCATCGCTGCTTGAACAAGCACCATAGGCTCCAGTGCTTAAGAACATGTGGCGCACTGTCATTGAGCAATTTTTTTCCTCAGACACGTTCTTTTTTAAAACACTTTTTTTTGAAATACTGTTTTTATGACCAAAATGACATCTAAATATGAAAATCATCTAACTAGTACCAATTTTTCTTTTGAAAATGACCAAAATGAGATCCAAAGATGAAAAAGAAAAAAAAAAATCTTTTGTTTTTGTTCTTTTTTCGAAACATTGTTTTTATGACCAAAATGACACAAATATGAAAATGAACTAATTAACATCATTTTTCTTTAAAAAATGACCAAATGATATACAAAGATGAAAAAAAAAAATTTTGTTTGTTTTTGTTTGTTTTTTTCTTTCTGAAACAATGTTTTTATGACCAAAATAATATTCAAATATAAAAATGACCTAACTAGCACCAATTTTTCTTTTGAAAATGACATTCAAAGATGGAAAAGAAAAAAAAATTTGTTTTTGTTCTTTTTTTTTTTTTTCTGAAACACTGTTTTTAGGACCAAAATGACACTCAAATATGAAAATGACCTAATTAGCATCATTTTTTTAAATGACCAAAATAACATCCAAAGATGAAAAATAAAAAATCTAAGTTTTAATTTTAGAATCTATGTTTAAATGTTTTATTTAATAAATAAATTATGTCTTAAAAAATAATATTTCAATGTTTTTTTAAGAACCCAAAATAAGAACCTCCCATTGGACCACGAAAATGTTTGGGGGTGCTTAGCGTTGCATATTAAATCACTTTTACAACTTAAAATTATTAAAAAAATAATAAGCACCATTAATTGGGGATTGGGGTTGAGAGCACCATTAATGAAGGGGTACTTAGAGAGTTGTTTAGGAGGAAAGAAGTGCTTAATTTGAAGAGAGAAAGTGTGAAAAGTGCTTAATGGTGCTCTGATGGTGGTCTTAGTGGGGGTTTTTATTGTCATGGACCCCACAAAAATTATAATACCGTCTCTTGTGTTTGCTAAATAAAAACCATTATTTGTTTGATTCTTACACTGTTCATGGGTCTCACTTACACATGCCGGGCCGCGATTAGTTAACCTTTTATTTCTTTACTTTTTATTTTTTTTATCAGATAAAAATAAAATAATAATAATAAGAATTGAGTTAGTGGTATAAAGATGCTCTTATGAAGAAGAGAGTTCAGGTCCGTAAAGTCTACTTAAACACGCGCGTTTGGGTGGGAACAAAAGTGGACCAATGCTGGAAACGGATCAAGAACTTCATGAGGTTAGAGTAAACACAATACTATGTTACTTTACATTTATAAGAATATTAAACAACGATTATGTGACACCGTAATATCGACCATCACCGCAACAACGACGAAAAACGAGTGCGACGCCTGCTACTACTATATACAAAGAAAAAATTGTTTTCATAATTTAAGCAAGTGATATATAAATATTGTGTCAAATTAATTATGGAAAATACTAAAATAATAAAAAACAAATGAACTCAAATTAAAACTAATATAATCTGATTGTAGCAATGAAAGTTAAAGTAAATAGTTACAAAGTCCTAATAAAGTGACACAATACACAATAAACTGAAAAAAATAAATCTAACAAAATAAAACAATTACATCTTGTAAAAGAAAATAAAACATTATCTCATTATATAAATTACAACTATGGCGTTATTTAAATTAGTCAACCGCAACAACTTCATCTCTCAAGAAAATAATAATTCACAAAATTAGATAATCAAACATTTGAAGCAAAACAAAAAATGTCAATCCAAACACTTAAACTTAAAAATTCTTGCGCAAAACATGGACAAACTCCTAGTATTTTCATATATTACAACAGCTTCTAATAGTAATAATTGTTTGACAACAAAAGAGAACTCCGTATAATCCTAACGGTTAAATTATTTATAGTAGTAGAATTTAAGGGATTATAGGTTTAAATTCTCGTTGGAAAAGTCTACGTCTACGTTTTAATGGGACTAGGTAGCTCGTTTGGTAAGAAATCTGGGAACCAATTGTTATGCTTACAGGTTTAACATCAGACGGAGGGGAACTGCTGATTCTTGTCACTAAATATGGTATTGAATGTTGGACCTTGTCCCCAACCTAGATAAAGCCTTCCCGAATGAAGTGGACCGGTGCCTAACATGGTCTAGGGAAATGATTCACGTAAGTGAAAAACCCCTGAATTATCAAAAAAAAAAAAGTCTACGTTTTAAGAAGAGTTAATTTAAAATGATTTGTGAGTGTTGACAAAAAAAAAAAAAGTTTGGGAGTCGGGTGAAGAACCTTTAGACATTAAAAAAAAACGTAGATCAGTTTTACATTATTATTCAACGTTCCTCTTGTTTCATATTTTTCTGAAATACAAGGTGGATATTTTCCATATTTGTAAATCAACCAATACACATTTTATCAGTCTCTGATCTCACCTATAAATATAGCAAAGCTCTAAAATCGATTCTTCTAAACAGTAACAAGGTAATACGGGAAAGAAATAAGAAACAAAGAAATACCTTTTCAAAAAAAGTTTTTGTGCTTTAGTTTTTATCATTATTTTAAATAATGGGTCGCATACCTGCTTTCATAATCTTCCTAACTTCTTCTCTTCTTATAGTCCTTCAAAACCTCGACGTCGCTAACGCCGTGACGTGTACAGGAAGCTTCATCAACCGTAACAGCAGCTATTTTCAGAATCGCCACAAGCTCTTCTCCACTCTTGCTAATAAAGTCGTCGCCAACGGCGGATTCTACAACTCCTCACGCGGAGCAAGTCCTAACTCAGTTCACGCTCTTGCCCTCTGTAGAAGAGGCTACGAGGAACAGGACTGTATCAGTTGTGTAGAAAAGGTTACTCAGGAGATACAAACTGGTTGTCCAAACCGCATGGATTCATTCAAGTGGGACAATGACGATGGTGACAATGTTTCTTGTCTTGTAAGTTCTTCAAACCACTCAACTTTTGGGAGCCTTGAGCTTGAACCTGCTGTTATATATCCAAGTCCACTTAGTATCGAGCAATCGAAAGACATGACCCTTTTCAGACAACAGTGGGAAGCAACGGTTAATCGGACCCTCGAGGATACCACTGAAGCTAAAACTTTATCCATACTTAAGTACTACAGTGCTGTGGAAGCCGAGTTCACCGAGTTTTCAAATGTATACATGCTGATGCAGTGCACGCCCGACATAACTTCCCAGGATTGCAAGATATGTTTGGAAAACTGTGTGACATATTTTAAAAAAGAGTTTTGGGGAAGACAAGGAGGCGAGGTTAGTCGTCCTAGCTGTGTTTTCAGGTGGGATCTATATGCTTTTCATGGTGCCTTTGAATATGTAACAAGGGTTCCTGCACCTCCTGGACCTCAGGCACAGGCGAATGGAACCTTCATAACAGACAAGAAAGGTAAAACAACTTTGTTAAAGAGGTAACTAGACTAATAACTAGAAGTTTGCTTAGTGACTAAAACTCTTCAATTACCGAGTAGGGATCTAAGGGATCATGAGTTTAATTCTCGTTCTGCTTTCTTAAACAGAGTTAATTTAAAGTGGTTTGTCCAGTGGCGGATCTAGACAGGTTTTTAGCTGGGGGCACACACACTACTAAAAATAACAAAAACAATTTTGAATTGGGGGCATTTTTATGTTTATTCACTAAACTGCAAACAATTTTATCATATACTAACTTAACTTCTTCAAGAAAAATTAATAAAATAGTAGGTGGCACGTGACCCTGTACTCGTATACATACATCAGCTTTTGGACTAAGAATTTTTAGACATTAAGAAAAAAGCTTATCTAGAGAGCATTGTCATAGAGTCATAATTTGTAAAATGAAATCTCAGATTGAAGTGGGTAAATTATTTGCAGGAAGAAGCATTAGATATAGCGGAATTATTGCGATTATTGTGGTTCCTGCTCTCTTTAATCTGGTGGTATTTATTGGTCTCATAAAGTTCTATGTTCGGAGGAAAAACTCATACAACGGATACAATGGTACGTAACTTGTCTATTGCTTCAATCAACCTTATTATTTAGAGAATAAGGGTTGTTAACTTGTTATTATTATTTTCTGGTTGTTATTGCAGAGTACTCTGATTCTAATGGTCAACCTATGTTACGGTTTGATCTTGGTACAATCTCAATGGCAACCAATGACTTTTCGTCTGAAAATAAGCTTGGCCAAGGTGGATTTGGTACGGTCTATAAGGTAGTCATAATTTGTTTCCTAATAATGATTTATTGATTGATCTTGGTCTTGGATGGATTATAGATCTTGAGAACCGGTTTCAGGGAAAACTACCAAATGGGCAAGAGATAGCTGTGAAGAGATTAACAAAAGGTTCAGGACAAGGAGATATGGAGTTTAAGAATGAGGTTTCACTCTTAACAAGACTCCAACACAAGAATCTGGTTAAGCTTCTTGGATTCTGTAGTGAAGGTGATGAAGAGATTCTTATCTACGAGTTTGTCCCCAACTCAAGTCTTGATCACTTTATCTTCGGTAAGGCTTCCAAAAATAGCTGCAAGTTTTATATAGTTTTAGAAACTTTTAGCAAGAAAATGCTTTTTGAGCTCTACAGATGAAGAGAAGCGTTCGCTTCTTACGTGGGAGGTGAGATTTAGAATTATAGAAGGCATTGCTAGAGGTCTTCTTTATCTTCATGAAGATTCTCAGCTAAAGATTATTCACCGAGACTTGAAAGCAAGCAACATCCTTTTAGATGCAGAGATGAACCCGAAAGTTGCAGATTTCGGGACCGCAAGGTTGTTTGATGCTGATGAGACTCGAGCTGAAACAAGACGAATAGCTGGAACTCGGTAAGAATATATCAATCAACCCTCCTTTTTTTGAATACGCACAGACCCAAAACCACAATATGTAATATTAGTTTCATCTCAATCATCACTCAACATTAAAGACATATACTACATATATGGATCTTTGAGACAATTTTGAGTGAAACATTAATGACTTAATTTGCATATATGTAGTGGATATATGGCTCCTGAATACCTGAATCACGGGCAAATCTCAGCTAAGTCTGATGTATTTAGCTTCGGTGTTATGCTTCTGGAGATGATAAGCGGTCGAAAAAACAATAGCTTCGAAGGAGAAGGACTTGCAGCTTTTGTAAGCTTCTTTCACATTGTATCAGTCTTTGCTCAATTTTCTTTCATCTTCAAACCTCTGTACTGAAAGTAAGAGCATGTATATTTTTGGTTCAGGCATGGAAGAGGTGGGCTGAAGGAAAGCCTGAAATTATAATTGACCCGTTCTTGGTAAAGAAACCGAGTAACGAGATCATTAAGATGATCCAGATAGGTTTGTTGTGTGTTCAAGAGAATGCAGGGAGGAGACCAACCATGAGCTCGGTAATAGTTTGGCTTGGCAGTGAGACTATCACCATTCCTTTACCTAACGCTCCTGCTTTCACTGGAAGCATGTCCCAATCTGAGAAAGGTACAACGTCAATAAGCAACGTCTTCACGGAGTTGAGTTGTCGTTGACTTGTTTCGATTGTTTTGTTTGCTTACACTAATAAAAGATCCGTAGTGTCCACCGGCACTAGTAGGATGGGTACTGGAATGCTGGTGACATCCAATATAACAGACTGAACATGTGTTGTGAAATATTTAGTAAATTAAACAAACCTCTCTGAAAATTCTAAATATATACACATTCATAATTATTTATATGTAAAATAAAAAAAAAATGTAAAAAAATCGATTAAAAAAATGTAAAAAAAATGGAAGAAACGGAAATGTGGGTGTAACATCAAATATGATGGAAAATGCATGATCAGCTATGTGAAATTAAGTCTAGCATTGCTTCTATTAAAAGTTGTACCCAGCCAAACAAAACAAGTGGTCGTCATTCCAAATGATCGAAGCTTTGGAAGATATGGAGAATGATATGGAGATTGGGGAGCAAGCTGAAGGTGGGATGATGGAAGGCCAAGATCAAGAGTGTGATCTTTTGGGAGAAGAGCTTAAGGAGTTGGAGGAGTCACATGTGAGACTAGCTCCAAAGAGCTCTAATGCACGTCGGAGTGTGTCCAAGTCTCATAGGATGAATGCTCCTTTGGGCATTCAAAGTAATAAATTGAGTTTCTTCGTCAAGGATCACCACGGACAATGGCTGCGATGTCCTCTGGGCCAAAGGATAATGAGAAGGATTGAAGCCGCCGGCATGGTGGGAAGACTAGAGGTCATGGTTCAAACAAGAGTGATGGTTTGATGGGTTCCAAATTCCCATCAAAAGTTTATACATGAGGACAATCAGTTGGAACTGTCGAGAGATAGGGAGCAACCTCACAGTTCGACGCCTTACGGAGATGTGTCAGAGGCATCACCCAGAATTTATGTTCCTCTCTGAAACGAAGAACAGAAGGCTGCTGTTGCAAGATATATTCATGCCGACTTAGGATTTGATTGTTTGTTTACCGTTGAGCCACTTGGTCTCAGCGGAAGTTAAATTTAGCACTTTTTTATATGGATGATTTTCAAGTTAATGTTTTATTTTCGAATAACAGAATGATTGACATTGAGGCAGTCATTGATGGAATAAAAGTCTACATGACATTTGTTTATGGGGATCCTGTACTAGAAAGAAGAGACATAGTTTGGGAGCGTCTTACGCGTTTCTCAACAACAAGAAATGGACCTTGGTTCATGATAGGAGATTTTAATGAAATTACTTGTCATGCAGAGAAGGAAGGCGAGGCAGACAACGCCCTGATAGCTCCTTTCTGCCCTTTAGGCAAATGTTAAGTGATTGTAGTATGCTGGAGTTTCCTTTCACAGGAAACATGCTATCTTGGGTTGGAAATAGATCAGGGAGGACGACAGTTAAATGCCGCCTTGATAGGGCTGTTGGGAATGAGGATTGGCATGAGAAATTCCCTCATTCCAAAGTGAAGTTTATGAGACTCTGGGGATCAGATCATCGTTCGATACTAGCTGATATTCTAAAAAATAAACCGAGAAGAACAAGAAATTTCAAATTTGATAAGAGATGGTTGGATAACGATGAGCTTAGGGAAATTATACTTGACGGATGGAAGTCACCGGACCTCTCACCAGACGCAAGTATAATGGAGCATATTGCCAGCTGCCGCCGAGCATTAAGTGAATGGAAAAAGCAGCATAATTTGAATTCAGTGAAAACAGTAGAGGAGGTCAAAGAAAAGGTAGATCGGTTATCTTCAAATGATGATGTCACTACTGAGGAGATTGCAGCAGCTATTAAGGAACTATCCGACGCTCTTAAGGCGGAGGAGATGTTCTGGAAGCAGAAGTGTAGGATTTTCTGGCTAAGAGAAGGGGATATGAATACTAAATTTTTTCACGCCCTTACGAAGCAAAGGAGAGCAAGGAATACGATTACCCAATTACTGGATGAAGATGGAAATGTGGTGGAGGATGAGGAAGGATTGATAGCCATTGCTACAAACTACTTTAGACACCTCTTTCAATCATAAAATCCTGAGGCAATAGAGGAGGCACTCTCTGAAGTATCAACCACAATTACCTTAACAGATAATGAGACTTTAACAGCTCCGGTCACAGAATGGGAGGTTAAATTGGCTCTTTTCGCGATGCACCCAGAGAAAGCTCCAGGACCAGATGGAATGAGGGCGCTGTTTTACCAGAAATTCTGGGATATAGTAAAGGATGATTTAACTCTTATGGTTAATCAATTCCTATTTGAGGGAACGGTGCCATCTGGACTAAATGATACCAACATATGTCTCATTCCAAAAGTGGATAAGCCATATCAGATGAGTCAGTTACGCCCTATTAGCTTATGCAATGTTAGTTACAAGATTATCTCTAAGGTCTTATGTCAGAGATTAAAAAAGTTTCTACCAGACAGGATCTCAGAGACCCAGTCAGCCTTTGTTGCTGGGAGATAGATATCTGACAACATTATGAATGCTCAGGAGTTGTTCCACGCTTTGAGAACAAAACCGAGTGGCCGAAAAAAGAGGATGGCTATCAAAACAGATATGAGTAAGGCATATGATAGGATGGAATGGTTCTTCATTGAGGCCACCATGAGAAATATGGGATTTTCTGAAGTCTGGATAGCTATGATAATGAGATGCGTAACATCAGTAAAGTACAAGGTCCTCATGAATGGACAGCCAAGAGGGAATATCGTCCCGGAGAGAGGTCTACGATAGGGGGATCCTCTATCCCCTTTCATTTTTATTCGGTGCACGGAAGCGCTCGTTAGCCTTCTAAATCACGCAGAGAATCAAGACAACCACTACCCTCGTTGTGGGGAACCCGAGGAAACAATCACACATGCAATATTTGAATGTCCACCTGCATTACAAGTTTGGGCGCTATCATCTACGCCTACCAATCCCACTTTGTTTCCAGTACAAAGCACGTACGCGAATATGGACTATCTATTCTGGAGGAAGAATGCAATAATGGAACCGGAATTGGACAGGGATCCTTATCCTTGGCTAATCTGGTACATTTGGAATGCTAGGAATGATAAGCTATTCAGAGGCATTGATAGGGTCCCATTGGAGGTAGCGCGCTATGCAGAAAGTGAATGCCAGGCATGGTTCCAAGCAAATGAGCAGAATATACCGGTCTCCCTTGGGAACCGAATAGATGAAGACCATGCCTTAAATCTGGGTAACATATGCATGGTGGATGGATCTTGGAATTCTTTAGTGGATGTGAATGGGTGTTGAAGGATAATTCCGGAAATAGTCAGTTAATGGGGCTGCGTAATTTTGATCGAGTAGAATCGGCGCTGCATTCAGAGTTGGAAGCACTGCGGTGGGCAATGGAGAACATGCTTCAACATTTGCCATGTCAGAGCTTTGGAACTGACTAAAAGGAGATGATCGAGATGCTCAGGAATCCTCATGCATGGCCTAGCTTCTCAATGGAACTGGAAAAATTGTTGACACTGAAGATCTGCTTTCCTGACTTCAAGATTTTTTATGTTCCTAGATTATAGAACTGCGTTTCTAATTATCTAGCTAAGATAGCCAGGTCTTTTTATCGTAAGCTTGTGTACGTTGGTTTTTCTATTCCAATCTGGTTACCCAGACCGCCTCAAGTCACTTGAGTAATAGATCAACCGTTTGATGTCAAACAAAAAAAAACAAGTGGTCGTCATTTTCCGGTGTCGACAAGGCGCGTGAGAGCCACCGCCGACGCCAGGGACTTTTCATCTCCCCCTCCTGGGTTTTGTTTTGCCCCTTCATATCCTTCTCGTCTCCCGGTCGATATACTTCAGGAAGTGGGTTTGGATGGTGTTTCTGGAGAGGATTTCTGTGCGCCAAAAGTTTCTTCTGGTGGTGCTCTTCTTCTGGTTCCTTTGGTGAGACCGTGGTAGTGATTGGTGGTGGTTGTGGTCGGCTTTGAGGGTTCACGGAGCAGATCTGGGTTTTAAAATTTTGTCTCTAGATCTATCTTCTGGCTTTCGTTTCTCCTTGTGGTGGTGTGAAGTCTCAGCTCTCCTTAGGTTCTGGCCTTGGTGGTGCTGTAAGGCTGCGGCGGAGGGTTTTGTGGCTCTTTTCGGTGTCGAGGAGGTCTTTTAAACTTTCTCCTTAGTCGTGTGAGCTCCGGAGGTACTCTCTTCCTCGGAGGTGAGTCGTTGGTTGAGGTATGTAGTAGGAGATGGTACTTCAATCTTGTTCTGACTTATGCAAGTTATGTGGTTTACTCGACGTCTATGGCTTTCTTTGCGCCTTCTGACCGAATCTCATCACTGTAGATCCCTTTGCTTGGTTTTCGTTCTGGTCCATTTGGTGAACGGCGACGGTCCTCTTCATCAGTTCTGTGTCCTTGTGCTTCATGTTCACGCTTTCTGTTTTGACTCCGGAAAATGATTTTGTGAGTCACAGGATACTGCTATCAGTTCTCGATTGCAGCAAGTGATGATACGATTTCATTAGTGCGCTCTTGGCCTATTGGTGTCAACGCTTGGCCAATAAGCATATCCCAGTGTCATATGGGTTTGTTTGTATTCTATGGCACTTTGAGTTGACTATGTTTTTTTGCAGGTCATGACACTATTCCAGGTGAAATGTGGTGGCGTTTGCAAGCCCAACTTTGGTTACTATTAACGATGAAGGCGAGTGTATAGTCTGAGTTCTTGGCGTTGTCAGTCAGGTGAATGGTTCAGAACTCTCTCTCTCTCTTTCATACCTCAAGCGCTTTATAGACGGTGATGATTATAAGTTCAGTGGAGATCATTAGGAACCAACTACTCTGAAGACAGCACAGAGATTTTTGGTTTTCGAGGCAACATGGAGAGCCTCATGTTCTCGTGATCCTCGTCAATAGTTGAGAACGGTAACTAATTCTGAAGAATTTCGAAAAAATGACTAGCAGATTGTGTCTAGGTTTAGTGGGTGAACGAAGCTAGTTTTGTAATAAAATGAATTTGAAAATTGTGTTCAAAGATCTTGTATTCCCTATTTTGAGTCGAATATAATTAATAAATATAATTAAAAGA